CATCGTGGTAGTCAACGTGTGAAAAAGAAAAAAGAAAAAAGAAAAAAAAAAGAAAGAAGAGAAACATTAAACGTCTTTTTCCAAATTTCCCACGAAAGCTAAATGCTCGCAAGAGAGATTCGATCATAGAAGCCCAATGTATCCAGCATCACGTTTTCTCTATTTTTTCGTTTCGTCACTGTATTTTTTTTTATTGCTGTTTTATTGCTGCATTACTTGTTTTTGTTAATTATTTTGTTTTCTTTTTCATCACCCCTGCATCCAAATTTGAGCAGAAGGTGAAGCGCCCACTCAAGGTAATACTTTATGTAGTCATATGTGCCTTTCTTTCTTACTGCTTGCCGACGATTCATCCATATTCATGCTTTGAAAAAAAAAAAAAAAAAGAACAAAAAAACAAAAAAAAGAGGAAGGAAAAACGAACATGCTGTGTGTGTTAGTTTTGTTAAGCACGAAACTGCCTGGGATCGGATCGCAACACGCTATCTTGTGCAATTTAAGGTAAAATGGCACGTGCCTTCACACCGCTTTTCAGTACGTATACAGAGAGAATGGGTATTTCTTTCAGTATGTATAATGTGTGGAAACGCAGAAGTTGCAGGAAGGGCAAAAAAAAAAAAAAAAATTATATATATATATATCTAACAAATATGATCGAACAAATCTTCTTCTTCTTTCTTTTCCTTTTTTTTTTTTTTAACTTTAATTTATTAAACAGGTAATTTCTCCCTCCTCTCAGGATATCCTTTAATTTTTCTTTTATTATTATTATTTTTTTTTAATTAATTAGCGAAGCCATCGTCATTTGGCGGTTGTTTAATGCCAGTCAACTGATTTATACGTATTACATATTTATCACGTTCCTGGCTAATTTGGTGTGGGGCTTGTAAAAAACAGAAAAATGGCAAGACGCAAGTCTAATCGTTGATATTCGTTGATTACTTGAACGGTGGAATTTGGGTCTTGGATTTGTGTATCTGTATGCGTAATTAACAGTACTGCAGATTTTTATGCATTTATAGAAAATTTTTTAAAGTGGGAAAAGGAAATACACACAATATGAAAAAATACCTAAGATAAGATCCGTGGTATGGTTTACTTTATACAATATTTCATACATAAATCAATTTTCTACCGAGGCACTATTTTTTTTCAGTACATTGTACTGAAAAAGTACGAATTTGCATAAAAATCATCCGTGGTGTAGTAATTAGGTACAATTAAATGAATATAATATCGTGAAGCATATCGTTTAATGATCTTCCAATTCTATCGATTGCGTCGTGCTATTTTCGGTATGTCAGCCTCTTATTCAAGGAGTCCAAGTTTTCTATGTAAATATGTAACTTTAGGTCCTATCAACTCGATTTCCATATAATATTCATTAATAACTAATGAATGATAATGGGTATCATGTTGGATTAAATTTATGAAATGTACATATCAGCTAAAAGCAATGGGTTTTTATAAATTTATAGAAAAATTTGTAAATTTATAAAATACCGTAAATTGTACATATGCTAAAGACAATGGACAATTATTCGTTAATATTAATGTTAATTTACTATTTCCAATAGTGGAAAAATATTCATTTATAATGTTTAATAGATCATCGTCCGCATGGTCGCACTGAGCTTCCAGTTATGCCACGTAGCGAGAGTACTTCCGAGTTTCAGCCGTTGGAGGACAAGGAAGTGGAATATTTCTTTGCATCTGACGCGAGTTCTGTGATCGAACACACGAATCGTGTCATATTTTTGGAGGTGAGCATCTTTGTCTCATTGTTAGTTGATTACAATATGGAATGTTTTGCATTCCAACATCCCGATGTAAATGGTCTTGGTTTCCTTCAACGTTCAGGACGATGACGTAGCTGCAGTGAAAGAAGGTGCTCTCAGCATCCATCGACTCCGTCGATGCATGGACGATCCCCATGCAAGAGAAATCACAACTCTGAAGATGGAGATCCAAGAGATCATGAAGGGTAACTACGAATATTTCATGCAGAAGGAGATCTTTGAGCAGCCTGAGTCCGTGGTGAATACCATGAGAGGTCGTTTGAACTTCAGAGACAACTCTGTTACGTTGGGAGGTATCAAGGCAAGTTTCCAACAGTTTAATCCTCTATCAGCGTTTCCTTTCATTTTCTAATTGATCTTTCTGATTCATAGGATTATATTCCTGAGATCAAGAGGTGTAGACGTTTGATGCTGATTGGTTGTGGAACGAGCTACCACTCTGCCATTGCTACCAGACAACTTTTGGAAGAATTAACCGAACTGCCAGTTATGGTCGAATTGGCATCTGATTTCTTGGACAGGAACACGCCAGTGTTTAGAGATGACGTTTGTTTCTTTATCTCGCAGTCTGGTAAGATACATTTCTACTTCTCGATTTGACTTATGTATGTGAGATTTATGATCGTTTATTGCTTCGTAGGTGAGACAGCAGACACGTTGATGGCTCTGCGTTATTGCAAAGGACGTGGAGCTCTAATCGTTGGCATCACCAACACCGTGGGAAGTAGTATCTGTCGTGAATCACACTGTGGCGTTCACATAAACGCCGGTCCCGAGATTGGTGTTGCGAGCACCAAGGCCTACACCTCCCAGTTCATTTCTCTCGTTATGTTTGCTTTAGTTATGAGCGAGGACAGAATCTCTCTTGGTAGTCGGCGTCAAGAGGTATTATTAACTTTCATAATCAACTATTTGATACATTTTAAGAAAAGTACAACATGTTGCAGTATGTATTTATTCGTTTTATCTAACAGATTATCGAAGGGTTGAAGAATCTGGATAATCTCATTCGCCAAGTTCTTCAACTTGACGACAAAGTCAAAGAACTGGCCAAGTCTCTATTTCAACATAAATCTCTGTTGATCATGGGTAGAGGGTATAACTTCGCTACGTGTATGGAAGGAGCTCTGGTTTGTTGTCCATATTTCAAATATTATACCTTCTAAGTTTATTTATATTCATTTTATTTAAATAAATTTGTTATTTTTTTTTTCTTGATTTACAGAAAGTTAAAGAATTGACGTATATGCATAGCGAAGGTATTATGGCAGGTGAGTTGAAACACGGCCCACTGGCGCTCGTCGATGATTCGATGCCAGTGATAATGATCGTCATGAGGGATCCAGTCTACGTGGTAAGTAGTTTCAGAGAAAGTTTAACTCGTATTAAACTTTCTCGTGATTACCCAACGTT